GAACATTATACGCTGTCCTTAAAAAAAGATGCAATTACACAAATAGCATATTAAAATATGTGAGTTTAATGGTTCAGAAAGGAACACATGAAGTTGGGATTACATGATAGTGCATTCAGTAATCATAATGCATGACTGTACATTGTATTCAGCAATACGTAGGTTTCCGTTGTGGAAGCAAGCGTAATGTAAGTTCAAATATCATCAAGCAAGATGGAATAAATGCACTAATTCTGTTCCATAGAACTTGCTCATAGTGTTTAATAAGTTGCATTACAGCAATTTTTTATTACAATAAGTACCTTACAAAACGTATAGATAAAGAACTTTATTACAGAATCTGCAAATGTCCATACATAATAGTTATAACAAGATATGCCTTTTGTAGAACCATGGAAGTCACCATAGTCTTTCCCTATGTCACTGTTAGTCAATCATGACATCAACGTTTTCTTCCGCAGAACATATGTCTGTTCTCTGTAACAAAATGAAAATGTACCAATTAAGAGCATGCATTTGGATATATTATATACACATTAACTAACGTTTAATGTTTGAAATAGTACACATCATCGGAACCCACGGTATACCTTCCGTATTATTGTATAGGTATACTACATTTAATGCTTATACATAGCCGGTGTTACCGAGCATGCACGTTCATTTTGATAATCACCAAGGCAGAACAAAGATCTAAGATTCATACACGACAAAAAAAAGGAGATTGAAATTGAAATTCTACGAACAAATTCAACGAACGTTCCAAACTTAGGCAGATGTTTTTAGAATTTGAACCATAATATTATCTATGTTAAAATTTATAACACTGTAAGAGGTTCGTGACTTTACCTCACAAATATGCTTGAAAGAATCCGAATGGCGAAGTTCTGTGACAATCGGCAGAAGACGCTGTGTCAGGTCGTGAGCAGATGTTACACACTGAAATAAACGTGAATGATATGAAGAATGAAATTCTTATTAAATACTTATGAATAAAGTATTTGGAAATATTGATGAAATAAAATACGTATTTTCATTTTCCGGATTTTCATTGTAGAAATTTATTTTTCACTGAAGAGAAACATGATTTCTGTATATTCACTGGTGTCTTGCCGGACTACTTACTTTTAAATTCATTTCAAATTAATAATTAAAAAGAAAGGAAATCAATTTTCCATGTTTGGTCATAAAAGGAAAAGAAAAGGTAGATAATAAACCGAAAACCAAGTTTTTTTTCTATAGATAAATGGAGAAAATGTGTTTGTGCGACGTAAAACCAAACAAAACATCAACAGCAAAAGAAAGACCCAACTTCATTTAGATTCCCGCTTGTAGAAATAATCCCCGAAGAAGCACATTGGAAGCAGGATCATAATCAAAAGGATTAAGTGACGCATTGGACAGATTCTGAATTACTCTTGTTTCGGGTCAGAATCTTCTATAGAAGCACAGATTTATGCAATTTAGAAATTGTTTTAGATAAAACCCTGATCTCTATGCTCTATGAAATAGCCTACCTCGCTGATATCGTCGACATAGTTTTCGCAAATGTCTTCGGCGAGATCCTGGATTCTTGTTTCTAGAGCCGGATCTTGAACCGTATCATAGATTATACCGACACCATATCGGCATAGTGTGCACTCATCCTGAATTGCTTCAACTTAAATAATCAAATTTTTAATATTCATCTTTTTTCTACTGAAACTGATAAAAAGGACAAATATTTTCCAATGGCAATCTATAGATATTGTCATTTTGTTTTGACAATTCATTGTACGATCCAGAAACAATTTTAAATTAGCTTTTTAACAACACCAACAATAACAAAAAGAAATGTGATACTGAAGTTGTCTCATTGTTTCACGTATGTAAAGAACAAATTAAAGTAACTGATATTAAATTGGCAACAATATATATAACTTATTAATAAACAATTATTAAGAAATCTAAGTCGATGTTAAGCAGGCCATTCTCTCACTGCGCATATATACCTGAATGGCAATGCAACAAACTTCGCCCGTTCTTCTAAACATTTTCACGGAGGGAAGGCATTAAGAGAACATTTGGTTCTAACTAGAAGAATCAGATTGTTGTCTGTTCAAAGCTGTTATCTAACTATAAACACATCTATATAAAAAAAAACATCGATTGTTGCAACACATGAAAATTAATACTAAACCGTAAATGTTCTTAAATTACCTTGAACTCCAGGACAGATATGGAACATCTTGCAGGATTCTGGTGTAAGGAAATGAACGGCTAATTGCACTAACAGAGGACCGTAAGAGTCAACCAAGAACAAACATTGTTGCTTGAAGAACGGTATCATGTGACATACTGATTTCAAGGCATTCAAGAGAAATTTCTGAAGAATAAAAGGAATACATTTAATAAAATTTCACAACACAACACAATACAACACAACAACATTGTAGATTTTATAGTTATTTGTGGTTTGCTTTTATAATTACCTTGGTTCAGTAAGGGTCTTTCAAATAGTTTCTGTTTGAAAGACCCTGGTTCGGTTGTTTCAATGTGGTGAAACATGGGATTTAATCTGGGAAGATAATTTCATAATTACTTGTTTATCTTAAAAACAAAATGAACATGTTGTAACTTGTTTTGTCAATAAGTCAGTTCTCTAAAATGACAAATACATATACATTGTATATCATAAGTGCATTGTGGCTAACTTTCGCTATGCACAAGAGGTGAAGTCTTGACCGGAAAGTATGTCGATCTTCACTTTGACGTACCAAAATGTAGGAAGCAAAACCCGACAAGAACATCGCCTGTCGTGCTTCAACTATTTGTCTCTTCGGCCTTCTGCTCATGTAACTTATCGGCAACTACAGTTTATACGTCTTTCTTTGAATATCTATAACAATCCCGATTTTTTTATTTCTTAAAAAAGCGGTCTGACAGGTCACTCATAAAATATCTGAGGTCATTAAGATGTAACTTTTTTATTTCTGGTAAATGATTAAATATACCTGATGCTCCTTCGACTTTAGGAAGTCTTCGGCTATCTTCATTGCGTTTTCACAAATAATGCACGGCAGACTGGAAACATCTGTAAGTATCCGAATAATTGTTTTTAATTAAGAAATAATATCGGTGTGAGCGGTGTTTATCGGCTATTTATATAACACCGGTTGTAGTTTTGATGCGTAGGAAATGACCACGAAGGCCGTATTTGAAGTTTTGACCGAATGCTGAGAGCCACAAACAATTGAGAATTTATCTTTTACATGATCAAAGCTATATGAATATTTTCAAAAGAAAAATCTATTTGTTCTTTCAAAATGTTTTTCTTTAAAAATGTTCACTGTTACATAATTATGAATGTTAAATTAATAAATTTTCAAAAGAAAGAGTATAAAAACAGAAGAATAAAATACAATGCCAAAACGTGTCAATCTATTTAAGCCATTTTAAAGTTCACTAGAGGTGCGCGTGTAGTGCACACCAAGTGCATGTACCTTTAGTGCGAACACAACTGTACTCTAAATAAAACATGTACTTAATGTATTTTCTAAATATTTATCATAGAGCAGCCGTGATCAACTGTGATATTGTCACCTGTGGTGTGTGGTTCAAGGACAAAATCTGAGCGAGGATCGAACTTCAGACTGGTTGATTTGCACTGACCAAACTGCTGGCATAGTTTGGAAGGAGAGAGTCTACTCAATTCTGTACATTTATCCCGGCTTTCGACAGAGTAAGCCTCACATATCGTGTCCAAGATTTGGTTTCTCTAAAATGAGTTAAATAAGTTCCTGTAAGAAATTGTTGGTAGTATGTCTGTCAAACAGGCCGTTTGCATTGCAGTTGCCTTTATTGGCACCTTATCAATGTGTCTATATCTTTTTTTAAGTCAGTTGCTTTTAAAACTAAATGACAAGCACGTTTTCCAGCGTTATAGTCACACAATTACGGTGGCACAGAGATGACATGTGTGCGTTTTTATTTTTTCTCGTGCGCACGAGATACTATGTGGTGACCACGAGTTACTAAGTCGTGCGCACAAGACAATTAAGGCGTGGGAACGAGTTACTAAGTGCTGCGGGCGAGATAATTAAGTCTTGCGCACGACATTAACTCGTACCAACAACTTAATTACCTCGTGCGCTCGACGTAGTAACACGTGCCAACGACATAGTATCTCGTGCGCACAAGATAAATAAAAACGCACAAATGTCACCTCGATCTGTGCCACCAAAGGCAATACATATCAATAAATAAAGATAACTATTTCACAAATGAAAAAGAGAACTCTACATCTATCATTGGTCGTTCATTTAAAGCATAGTTTAACGAAATAACTGCAGCAGTAGTACAAATGTCGGGTTAGGCACGGCTTAATTCTGTTTCATTGTTTGCCCGTAAGTAACGAAATATTTTATATAATGTTAGGATAATTTTAATAGTATAATAGAGTATGTATCTTTAAATAAAAGAATTTTATTAGAATTATATGTATGTAAATGTAAATAATTAAATTAAATTTAGAAATTTGTTTTCTTTGTTTTTCTTTTTTTTTTCTTTGGTGGAAAGTTTACAAAATGTATTTTCAAGAAAAAAAAGGGAAAGCTATTTTTAACAAGAGCATTACTTACCGTCTGCTCATCAACCATCGAGTTTACAGAAACAATCATGTTTTCGCACTGAGAACAAGTGTCCATACCAGCTGGACTTCCTGTAAAAATAACAAGTCAAAATCGTAAAACATATATTTTTGTATTATCTGTTTTAAATTTGAGAATATTAAATAGAAAAACATCATCATCATCAACAACAACGACGACGACGACGACGACAACAACAACAAAATAAACCACCACACACGCGCGCACTCACACAAACGAACGCACGCGCGCGCGCGCGCACGCACGCAAACATACTTTAAATAACATTCACTTCTTTACTTCTTTTTATCACAAATTATAATATATTATAATAAATTATATATACAACTATCGTCTTGAACATTATATTGATCTTTATTTTTCTAAAAAGGTTGAAATTGAACCATATAAAGTGATATACTGCAAAGAATAGCGGTAAAGGTTATGTAAGAAAGGAATATACCGTTCACGTAAGCGGAAAATAAGATGCAATGTAACCGTTTTCTGGCATAGATAGCAAAGGTAGACATTAAAAAGGGCATCTTCTGAAAATAACACAGAAATAATGAAAACAGTCAACATCACAAAATGAGTGAATAAAGTTATTTTACCATCCGTAAGTCCAATTATAACAGCTGCGACGATACCAGTTATTCTGAACAGTCCCATCTTTTCCATAAAAATCAACAAAATGATTTGAATAAAATTCATACGCACAAAATCCTAATTTCTCTACGGAAATGAACAATTTATGATTGTTGGTGAATGTAAGTGTTTATTTAATAATTTTTAAAGGAGAAAGTTCAATTCTCAACAGCATTAGGAAATAGAAAGTAGATAACATGTTACGCAGGATATAAACATGAATTTGTTTAATTGTTATATTTCTCACAAACAGGATCTCTTTTCGGAAAATACTGTTGATACTCGTGACTTAATTGTGAACTTTTATTAAAGGCACATTATGCCTCAGAAATGCAATCAATTTTATTTCTTAAGAATTTTTCTTTATTTTTGGTATCTGATTACAGTTTCCGGAAAATACTCGTTTGCCCAGTATATGCATGATCTTTTCTGCTATTTTGTTCTGTTGACAATTGCTTTAATTATAGTAATTAGTATTTTGTATGGAAGTCAAAAATACAACTTTGCTACCTTTGCGACACATTATGCACGTTCAGTCATACTTTCTTCAGTTGTTGAACACCTAAAGTGCTCTAAATCCATTATTAAAACGTTTTGAAACAAAAATTTGACATTTTTTTAAAGAATTAATTAAAAATATTAATTTCTTAAGCAAAATGGACCTTTAAAAGTTTTATAACAAATGTCAAGGAAGTCTGAGTTGTTTTAAAACAATTAGTGACTGCATGTGAATGCTTGTTTCGGATTGTGATTGTTTTAAACCCAGTTTTATTGTTTGTATTTTTTTATTGAAATAACAGTACATGTATAAATATTAATTAACATAGATTATGTTAAGAAGCAAAGTATAACAAACGCTACGTTTGAATGAATGACAAGCCCCCGGTGGTGACCTTTGACACCGTGACCATTAAGTGGGTCTTGCGAGAAGAGCTTATCAAGCTGCTTACACATGTTATATCAGACGGGTGTGGTGGCCAAATTAAAAATTTGCTATTTTCGGCTTCGATGAAATGATTTAACATTTTGGCCTCTAAGAAAGCTCACGAATGTCAAGCTATAACGCTTCCGGCTGAAGCATGTATCTAAGGTTAATATTTGGGCTACCTTGGCTACCTTGATCTTTGACCCCGCGAACTCATACTGTCCAGTAGGAGTTGATCGAAGTGCATGTACGTTTGGAATTTAAGGCCGTAGGTTGAAGGATTTCCTTGTTAAATTATGGTCAAGGTTAAAGATTTCAGTGCTTCAAATCAGCCCAGTTTAATAGCCTAATAAGAGGGGTATGTTAGCCAACAGCAAGTTTCATTAACCAAAACGTTCATATGGATTTCTATATTCTAAATGGATGTGCATTTGATATATACCCGATGAAAAACTGAAATATCCAAGATGGCGTTCGAGATGGACACAAAATCATAATATATTCTAGAGTATCAATGTTTTTCAACTGTTTTGTTTATTGACTGAAATTTTACTTTTTTTTCACGGGAGGGCTTTTTCCGCCAAGTCATTTTTACGGGAGGGCTTTTGTCCGCCCTGTCATTTTCACGGGAGGGCTTTTTTCCGCCTTGTCATTTTTGGACGGGAGGGCTTTTGTCCGGGAGGGCTTTCGTCCGACACTCCAGAAATAGCATATATGAACTACATGTAGTATAGACCTTTAAAATTGGATATCCCATAAGTGTTTCTTGCTTAAGGAGACTTAACACCAGTGGCATCCACTATTTTTGACATAAGAAAAAACACTTGACAGCATTGTCAGTAAACTCCACAGTGTTGTTTTTCAAGATAGTGACAGTGCTGTTAATACGGATGCTGTCAATTTATAAAGTAATTTCTCTTTCTCTAATAGATAAAGAAGTTTACTGTACAAATATATTATAGATTCGTTATAAAGATTCTTGCCTGGTTCAATTGCCATATATAGACGGTTTGGGTTAAATATGCTACCACCGAGTACTATGTAAAGACATTTTTTTTTACACCAGACTTACATGATTTTCCGAGACTTATATTACATACAACATTAAATGTAGCTCTGTGATATTTGAAATATATGACCAATTCACGTATACAATATCATTAAACATAAATAAATATTCTAATACTGCACGTTTGTAACGTCACTTTTCATTGGATAACCGAGGTGTTTATATAAAGGTACACGTCTGCTGTGTGGTTAAAGTCGCTGACTTGAGATCACAGGTCCCTCAACACTGTGGGTTCGATCCTCACTCGGGTCGAAATCTTTCATGTGAGGAAGCCATCCAGCTGGCTTACGGAAGGTCGGTGGTTCTACCCAGGTGCCCGCTCGTGCCTGAAATAATGCCCGGAGGGGCACCTGGGGTCTTTCTCCACCAATAAAGCTGGAAAAAAATCGACGAAAAATCTCGGCGGGACGCTCTAGGATGACCCGACTTGAGTGTACGGTCGCCCATATGGGCTTAAATAAACGCATAAAAAATGTGAAATTAGTAATTAATTTGATGTTTTCCACTAAGAAAGAAGTTTTCTGTATTATAAATAAAGCGGATCGGGTTATATTTACAATCAACCACCAATAGGACCATATAATCCGTCAAAAATCTTTGTAATTTTCTAATATTGTAATTATATCATTTCGTTACATTTTGTGTTAAAGCTGCATGCCTCCAGATGAGCCAAACATTTTTTCCAAGAAAATCAAACTTGGGGACTAGTTAAGATTGTAAGAAAAGTAAAAAGATTCAAATAATTATTTATATGTTATGTGCGATTAATGACTGATTTTGCGCAGTATTATCATCTACTGCGTTATTCAGTTAAGGCTATTCTTGCTTATTTTGACATTTTTTGGTAATTTACTTGGGTTATAAGTGCCGTTTGCAATGTGCAAATTCATTTCTTTATTTACTTTACAATAATATACTTTTAATTAAATACATATTCAAAAATTTCATGAAAATTAGGAGAATCTGGGGGTATGTTGGAATGTACATGTAGCTTGTGTTTTCAAGTATACAGGGCATTTATAATTCCAACAACAATAATAAGTCGGTTAAAGAAGATATTCAGAGCTTATGTTATCATAATTATGTTGTATACCAGACCAGAAACATATCTACATCTCTGACCAGACTTTATAAAATCAATATTAATTGAATGACTTGTATTGACATGCTATTTGTTCTGATAAAATCTACGATTATAGTGGTTTGCTCGATGTAATGAACGGTGTATATACTGCACATGTACTGTATTTTTATTCAGCTGAACATGATAAAACATGTCTACTACGACGTCTCGGTTTACAATTGAAATAATTTAGTGGTGTTGTACATTTATTAGTCTTCTTCAAAAAGAAGTTAAAAAGAGTTGCTAAACATGGCTGGGAAAAATATGCCAGTTGACATGGAGCTTAAAAAGGTGATAATCTCAAATGAAAGTTACCAAATATTACCAAATAATATTATGACATTAAAATACATGATACAAAAATGATATAGATTTGAATTAAACATTGTTATGTTATTGAATCAAATAGTTGAATATTATCCGGACATGAGTAGTTACCGGATAAACATTTTTTTTAGTAAAAACCCATTTAATAAACTTGGTTATATGATTGAATATCATTTAACATGTTTCACACGATAATTTATGTTAGCAAGTTTTGTTAAAATAGAAAAAAAACAGAATCCCTAAGTTCTATTTAAGAATAAAATTACTGTTTTGAGTCAACACGTTCCATAGTCAGGGGGTGAAGTATCTTCAAAATTTAAGAGGTAAAGTGTCAAAGGTGTAAAGTGTCTGGTTCCCATAATTATGATTAGAAGTTCCAGTATCTGTATTCATCATAATTGGATTATTAATTGAGTTGTTTAATTTAATTTCATGTCTGATTGGAATTTGGATTATCACACCTTTCATACAATTTAACTGTAATTAATATGAAATTAGGCAAAGCCTATGAATAGGGAAAGCAGTTAATTTTTCTGTTTTAAAGGTGTCATTCAGTATTATATGCACAGCTTCCATTTTCACTCGGAATACTCAACGATTTATCATTATTATTTATCTGAAAAGTTGGGATTGTCCGTTATCAGAATATCCCGCCTATTATCATTGAATTGCATTGAAAATGTCGCTGGCCGACTAGAACTAACACTGAAAATTTCATTAATAGGTATAGAATTTTATGTATTCTTTTATTGTTTTTTATTTGATTTCCAGAGATACCAGACCAGAAACATATCTACATCTCTGACCAGACTTTATAAAATCAATATTAATTGAATGACTTGTATTGACATGCTATTTGTTCTGATAAAATCTACGATTATAGTGGTTTGCTCGATGTAATGAACGGTGTATATACTGCACATGTATTTTTATTCAGCTGAACATGATAAAACATGTCTACGACGTCTCGGTTTACAATTGAAATAATTTAGTGGTGTTGTACATTTATTAGTCTTCTTCAAAAAGAAGTTAAAAAGAGTTGCTAAACATGGCTGGGAAAAATATGCCAGTTGACATGGAGCTTAAAAAGGTGATAATCTCAAATGAAAGTTTTTTTATTACCAAATAATGTAATGACATTAAAATACATCATAAAAAATTGAAATAGATTTGAATTAAACATGTTATGTTATTGAATCAAATAGTTGAGTATTATCCGGACATGAGTAGTTACCGGATAAACATTTTTTTTTGTAAAAAACCCATTTAATAAACTTGGTAATATGATTGAATATCATTTAACATGTTTCACACGATAATTTATGTTAGCAAGTTTTGTTAAAATAGAAAAAAAAACAGAATCCCTAAGTTCTATTTAAGAATAAAATTACTGTTTTGAGTCAACACGTTCCATAGTCAGGGAGGTGAAGTATCTCCAAAACTTGAGAGGTAACCGTAAAGTGTCAAAGGTGTAAAGTGTCTGGTTCCCATAATTATGATGAGAAGTACCAGTTTCTGTATTCATCATAATTGGATTATTAATTTAGTTGTTTAATTTAATTTCATGTCTGATTGGAATTTGGATTATCACACCTTTCATACAATTTAACTGTAATTAATATGAAATTAGGCAAAGCCTATGAACGGGGAAAGCAGTTAATTTTTCTGTTTTAAAGGTGTCATTCAGTATTATATGCACCGCTTTCGTTTTCACTCGGAATACTCAACGATTTATCATTATTATTTATCTGAAAAGTTGGGATTGTCCGTTATCAGAATATCCCGCCTATTATCATTGAATTGCATTGAAAATGTCGCTGGCCGACTAGAACTAACACTGAAAATTTCATTAATAGGTATAGAATTTTATGTATTCTTTTATTGTTTTTTATTTGATTTTCTTTTAAATATACACATGTTGTCTATGGCAGGGCAATATACAGTGTTGATTATTTATCATTATATATATGGATGCACAAACATGGATTTTATACTGTTTGTTTAAGAATGAATTTTTCAAAGAAATATTTTAAAGTCTGGAAAGAAGTCTTTGTAGTATTTATCAAAGCTATGCACATGTCTTTGATGATTAAACTTGCTTTAATCACCTTAATATAAAAAATTTATAAGAAATGCAAACAAACTTATCACTTTGAACATAATATCAAATGATAATCAATTAACACATTTTATTATTAAACAATTTCATTTTAAAAAAAGACATATTTTGTTTCAATTTAGATTTTCACCTCGTCAAAAAGCATGCCGCGATTTTAATACCATTTTAATCTGCCAGATATATAATGTAAATAGTTATGATTCATCATTGATTGACCATAAAGGTGATGAGGTGACTGGATTTAGACAAGTTGACCGAAAGTAGTGGATGAGATGACCAAAAAGGTGACCAGTTGACTACAGGATGTGTTGACCGGACATCTATTAATATATGCATAGTTTATAACTTGTAAATGTTGTAGCCTACATGTATTTCCTGACATAGTCAACATCATTTTTGCAAATTTTTAAAATGATATATTTTCATTTATATATGCGCAAACATAGAGCACAATAGATTTATCTTTTAATCACCATTAAACAAATTAAGTCATGATCTATCTTCTTTAAAAAGTTTTACTAGAAATAAAATATCAAACCTGAAAAATTACCTCTAGATTATGACATCCATGTTTTGTTGCAATGGAACTTTTAAATGTACCTAAAGTAAACATACATTGTCAAGTGTCTGATCAAGTGGCACTCATGTACATGTAGTTTGTACATGCATGCCAGTAGTTTCACAAATCCTGAAAAAATGTTATGAGGAAAACCCTGAGTAATTTAAAATAAAGTTATGAAACTTTCTTCCATGGTGAGCTTTTGTCATAACTTTATAGATGTCCATCATCAGTCATATATTATTACTATTATTATTTTTGTTTTAGGCATTCCAAGAGCTTCAAGGCAAGCTTATCAATACCACTCAGCAACTGAAGGTATCTGATGCACAAATAGAAACATTAAAAAGAAGTATTCAACATTCTATGCTTGTAGAAAAAGAGATTTCTAGGTTACCAGAAGATACTAGAGTTTATGAAGGTGTTGGAAGAATGTAAGTTAAAATTTTTTGGTTCATTTATACATGTACAAGAGTTTGATTGAAGACTTCTAAATTGCTCATTCAATTTTTTTGGATTTCACTCACTACAGTGTTGGCGCAGTACCTCTACATGCTTGCAGATATGATGATCACAAAGTAGACAAATTTCACTTTTTTCACTGATTCTTACATTTTTCATTCATTATCATATATAAATTGGTTTGAAGAGTTGAATTAGACATCTTGAAAGAGCATTTTGGCAGATGAAAAGGCGAGATTTGAACATTTAATTGTTTAAGCACTTTTTTATTAATATTTAGTATGGTGATCCAACACTTTATTTAGTATCATTATTCTTTTGATCACATAGAATGATAGATGAGAAAATCTGATAGCATGATTTTTTTTCCAAGGGTGTTATTTTATTCAAATACAGTACAAGCTGGAAAATGAAGAATACAAAATGTGTATACTGATTTGCTTAATTCTTTGCTTTGTGAAAACTATCATATTTTTCTTTTGTCATAGATTTTAAAAATTTGTGTGACCAGAAAAGATAAAGCTTGGATGTATTTGATGTATAAGTAGTTTGAAATCATTATACAATTAATTGAAGTAGCTTTTCTTCTTACTTTTGACCAAAGGTTCATGCTGGCAGGTATACCAGAAGTGAAAAATACTTTAGAAATGAAAGTAAAAGCTGCAGACAGTAAGATCAAGAATATAGAGGTAAAGTATATCATCAACTATCATGTACATATATTGCTAAATATGATAAGAGGATAGAATAAAAATTATATTTTCTTAGAATTGTATGAAATTATCTGTATGTCGGACATATGGACAGTCCATACTGGCAGACCACAAACTCTTATTAAACAGTTTTGTTAATTTTGTACTCATGACATTTATATCTGAGAAAGCTATTTATATCACATACAAATCTCTTGAAAAAATAACTTTTTCATTTATATGTATTCTGTGATATATAAGATTTTTTTAAAGGCGGTAAGACTTAATAGATGCCATTTTTGAGAAACTTTTAGTCTACATGTACCTCCAACATCTGTTGCCTTGGTGATAGATGTCTCATTGAGAATATAAGACTAATGGGTGTTCTGAATCACCTATTATCCTCTGCATGATGAATTGTAGTTTGCAGAAGGTCAGTGGTTCTAACCACGTTCAAAATTGTACCTGTGATAATATACAGAGGAGAATTTAGTGACTTGACTGCCTACTAAGGGTGTAACGGTTTACCGGTATACCGATATATTGCAATATGAAAAAATAAATTTCGAACCGCGGTACGATTTTTGGAAAACCGGTATTTTATAAAAATCATAATTTTCAATTAATTGCCTTCTAATTTTGTACAAATTTCACATAAAATCTTTAATTGGCAAATTTTGTTGGCACAAACGTAAGATAAAAGTATCCGACAACTAGTACACTTAAAAGTCAATAAGCGGCCGCATAATTTACATAAGCGGCCCAGATGTGAAAGGTTACACGCGACTAGTTTTGTTTATCAAATTGTGTGACACTACTTTCTATTTATTCCTTACATTTTTATTAAGTTTCTACTTAATATATATACATATAATAATAATATATAAATGTTACCCCATCTTTACATCAAAACATATACACGACAATACGTATTGCAATATATTGCAATACGCTTCAGCAAAATGGCAATATATTGCAATACGGTTTTTGCTGTATTGTTACACCCCTACTGCCTACTGTGGGTTCCAAAGAGAATAGTGCAAGCATGAATTAATTTGAGCCATGTCATGACAAAATCAACATATTGGGTTTGCGACCAGCATGAATCCAGAACAGCCTGCACATCGGCGCAGTCTGATCAGGATCCATGCTGTTCGCTATCAGTTTCTCTACCTGTTATAGACTTTGTAAGCGAACAGCATGGATACTGATCAGACTGCGCAGTCTGATCAGTATCCATGCTGGTTGCAAACGCACTATGTTGGTTTTGTCGTGACGCGGCTCATTTAAAAACGGATAAAACCCTACCTAAAGTAGCATAATAATATTTTGTTTGAGAACATTTTATTCTATTTACATACATTTAATATTCATGTGTGTTAAATAACATTCTATGTTGTAACTCTTTCGAGAATCGACCATACCATTATGGAACCAATACAATTTTACTGTTGATAAATTTTAGTATTTCATAAAGTATATCTGTATACCCTTTAAACACAGACATAAATATTGACTATTAAAGTTTTGCAAGTCTGTTTTACACATTTTTTTTTAATTTCAGGGAACTAAGGCCTATTTAGAACGCAATATGAAGGAAAGTGAGGATAGTTTACGGGAACTTATTCTGACAAAGCAAGGCAGGGGATAAATCAGCTTTATATTGTAGACTTTAATTTATAAAGGAATATCTAAGCTAGTGTTCATGTTTACAATGTTGAATTGATTAGAAATTGTATGATCTGAAATGATTGAAGAAAGGAAAGACTTTACTCAATGTACTCAATGTTAAGGTTTTTTGTATGCTTGCTAGTATTATTCATATGTGGCCATCCTGTAACTTCATTGTCAAATTTAACATGTTTATACATGAGCTTGTGAACAGTAACAAATAAATTTTAAGTAAGAAATATACGCTCTGATTTTTATAAGTTCCCCTGTGCAAGAAGTGTTAAGAGATAAGATTTTTTTTTGTGTGATTGCATGTTGTCTGTCATATTGTGTTGTGTTCTGCAATCTTCTAAACCATATGGTGGATTTTGACCAAACTTCACACAACATCCTTAGGTGGCCTTCTTAAAAAGTTGTATAAATGGTTTAAGTCTGTGGCACAAGTAGATTACAGGAACTAAAACAAGATTTTATCAATGAAATATTGAAAAAAAATCTTCAGAACTTCTATGAATTTAGCATATAGAATTTTCTTGTAATCCTCTACAAAAGGTATACACATTATGTCAAACTTGGCCCTGAGCTGGAGGCTGGGACTCACTTATTTCATATAGAATGATATAGGAAAATACATTTTAATTCTTAGATGTATGTAATATAGCATTGCCATTTGAATATCTTATGATCAAGAAAGTCAAATAAATCCTCTCCCTGGTGTCAAGATTGGCCCCATTTTGGAGGTCACTTAGTTTATGTAAACTTAAGGTATAATACCCAAAGCACAGGTAAGATTAGGAATATGAGAGAAGAAACGTTTAAAGCGAAATAAAGTCCGGGTAACTGATCTAGTTTTTGAGTTACATGTATCTGCTCTTTAGAAGCTATTGCTACAGTCATTGTGTCTGTAGGGCTTCCATTGACCTGACACAACAAAAATAACCAAGTACTTTACTCTTTTTGCATCTCAGAGACACAAATTTACTTTACCTCCATTTAAAATTTCATTAAAATGGTGCAAAATAGTAAACGAGTTCTAATATTGAATATATTGAGTGCTTATATTGAATATATCGCCTTTCTGCAAGCATATCGGGAAAAGTACAACAGCTACATTGGAAAAATATATACCATTGAATTCAGCAAATATTTACATGGAAAATGGTTTGTTTATATTTCAATTATTGAAATATCAAATAAAAATTTGCAAAAACCATTAGCGGTGACCAAATGCCACGTAATCAACCACCCTGTACTCTGTATATGCTGTGCTGACTCTATGTAAAATCCGGGGGTACCAATCACCCTACTGTTTTAATGGACGAGATGCATTTACATTACTTTCTTTAGAAAAGTGTTGTTCTTCTATTTGTCCAACATTGCACCAAATCATGCCCAAATGTCCTGGTTGTTAAGTTGGATAAACAACATCTTTCTAGACAAATATCAAAAGAATGGAAGCTATTTAAATATATCGGTTAATGCATATTATTTTATTACCAATGCAATTTTCATAGCATTCTGTACCTGTTTTGTGGTGGGTGAATAAGGATTTGTCATGTGTTCAAAGCATTCTTTATAAACAAGGCATCTTGAAACTGCTTACAAAAATAATGAAATATTTCCTTGTTGTCAGGCCCTTAGGTGTTCTACTTAGCCTTAGTTATTTATCATGACTTAAAATAACACTTTCTGTGTGTAGTAATTCACACCGAGTACAACTTGCACCTATAGTTCAGAAAAAAAACAACGATTTTTTAATGAATGAATATATTGCACTTTGATATGCAGTCAATTTTAGTTACTTGCACTTATTAGCTCACCAGAGCATAAGGCTCAGGGTGAGCTATAAGTATCAAAGGGGTATACTCCGGCGTCCGTCGTCATGCGTTAACAATCGTCTTCTTCTCTGAAACCGCTTGGCAGATTTACTTCAAATTTGATCTGTAGCATCATTGTGACAGTCACACTTGAATTTGCTCATGTCATTTCAATTGGCCCCTTTAACGGGTCTCTAGAGTTAAAAATAGAAAAACTTCTTCTATAGAACAAATTGATGAATGATCACCAAATTTTGTCTGTAGCATTCTTGGGTAGTTTCTTTTATCAATTTTGATCATATTAATTTGATTGGCCCCTTTTAGGGGCCGCTAAAGCTAAAAATTGAAATACCTTTAAATGTCTATTTCTACAGAACTAATTGATGGATGATAACCAAACTTTGTCTGTAGCATTCTTATGTACGCTTTTATCAAGTTTGCTCATATTAATTTGATTGGCCCCTTTTAGGGGCCACTAAAGCCAAAAATATAAAAACCTTTGAACATTTCCTACTGAAATAATTGATAGATGATCACCAAACTTTGTAGCATTATTAGGTAGTCTTTTATCAAGTTTGCTCATATTAATTTGATTGGCGCCGTTTAAGCTAAAGCTTAAATGCCCCAGGTCATGGCATTTCTTCAAATTATTGTTTAAACATATTCTATGCTCAAATTAAATATCAGAAAATATTGACAATGGATAATTTCCAACTCTGAAAAGCAGTTGTTTCTGGTGAGCGACTCAGGGCCATCATGGCCCTCTTGGTTAATTATGTACTGATCTGAAGATTTAAGTTCTTGCTGCAACATCGGTACAAATCTATACTTTATAATAAACTATAGTTTACAGAACTCATTCTCTGAGAAAAGGAGTTTATTCTAAAATATTTATGTTAGACAAGATTAGATAATCTACACTTTCTGCTCAAAAGATCAAATTATCTACATACTTTGTTGAACAAGATAAAAATGCTTACATTCTGTGCTCAAACACGATCAAATTATCTATATGCTATGCTTAACAAGAATAAATTATCCGCATAATGTGCTGAAAAAGATCATTTTTCTTTACTTTCTGTGCTGAACAAGATCAAATAATTAACAAACAAAATCATTTTCGTATTCAGTTTACATACATTCTTTGCTGAACAAAAATAAAATTGTCTATAAACTTATCTACATATTACGATGAACAAGAGCAAATCTGATTTTTATTTGCTGAACAACATTAAATTATTTACATTCTTTGCTGAACAAGATGAAACATCTACATACTATGCTGATCAGGAGTTTGCTAATAAGTATCGACACATTTTGAGCGATAACGCGCCAATTTACACGGCATGAGAGAAGAGGACTCAGACTGTGAGAGGCGGGAAACGTTCCTATGACGGTTGCTAGACGTTAACCGCTTTAGATTTGGCACAACGTCAATCTGAAAATGAAGAGGCCAAAAAAACAACAAGCACGTGCATATATTTATGTATTTTTTACCTTTACTCCGCTAAAGATGTAACTACAACATGTATTGGTTTAGTTTTGAGGCTGCATGTTATTAATGTTAGGGATTTCAATATGAAAAAAATCTGTAAGACTTTATTTTATACTGGTCTGACATTTGTTGCATAGGAAAGCTGTGATCAGCATAGAAGGGACACATCTTTGTTACATAAAATTTGTTTGTGTTTGGAAACGTACTTGTCATAGACAGTTAAATGAGCGAAGCAATAAATTGATTTTCTTAAACAAAATAGAACCCAAACAAAATAGTACCCCGCTCCCAACATTGCAGGGTAATCAAGACAGGAATTGTTCGCGCCCATGACCTTAGTGTTGCATTTTTACAACGACGACTTCTCTTCTTGAATAACAGTTTTCGTGCACATTTGGTGTAAGTGCACAATTCATTTGATATATAAATGGCTTTTTCATTGTACTCACAATTTAACGTGCATTATTGATGTATGTCTGCACTTGTTTTGAAGTTTCAGATTCAGAAATGTATCTTTTGGTTTCATTATTACATGTATATAAAATGTATGCAATGCTTTGCTTTTATTATGTGGTATATGTATATTTCAATTTAAAAAAGTCAGATGAACGCTTTTTTATTATTTTGCGACTATTTTATGAAATTATCGATAAATTATTTGTAATGCTAATGTATGACTGGCCTCCGGTCGTTTTATCCACTTATACCCTGCTACTGAAATAGCATTTGACTTATTCCCCTTTGACTACACGCAAAACAATATAATTTCAATTTAATTGATTGAAACAAATACAGCTAGCTGTAGGGACTTATTTCATTAAATGCCGAATTCCTTAGCCATTTAATAGCTAGACCCTTTGTCTTTTCGGCCATAACGATATTTGGATGCCTTTTCAATGCCTTGACTATTCGACCCCATCTATCATGACATTTTGACCACTAACTGATGGGCCATTTTTAATTAATTAACGACGTTCACAAAATTTTTGATAAAATTCTATTGCACACATAATTCTCTGCATAATTTATCACTATTAAACATAGGAAATGAAAGTGTATATATAAAAGGTTTGACCTCTAGTTCAAAGGATTGTGTTAGTTTAGATAATGTTACGGATCAGGTCGGATAGCAGGAAAGACCATTGCTTTTAGAAAACTGCTTAGTTAGATAATTTTGACGAGGGTCTTCATAAATAAGTGCTTATATTAAAATAATGCTTTAACAGTTTTGTAACATTTTTATATATTGTGACTTTTTTCTTGATAAGCTATTAAATTATATTTTATTGACACAAATTTGCCTATTGATTACATTTAAATCAGAATGTCATGTACTCCTGTGAATATATATGTCATTTTATTTGACCATTGGTTTGATAATAAAATCTTATTCTAAACATAATCCGTAATAAGCACAAAGTGTGATTAGTATGAACACTGTATGAAGCAGGTTGGGTTAAAGGCCCATAATGTCTCAGAAATGCTACTTATTTTATTTCTCAAAAACTTTTAATTTTTGGTATATTGTTACAGTTTTCAAAGTAATACTCATTTTCCCTATACATGAACTATCTGTTGCTACAAATCTGTTGACAATCGTAATAATAATAATGAATTGGTATTTTGTATGGAAATCAAACTACTATTTTGTTTACATTTTGCTGCTTTTTATGACACATTACTGCACGTTCGGCGCTACCTTCTTCATTGGCTCAACATCTAACATGTTTAAAATCCGGTTTCAAACACTATTAAACACATGTTTGAGATTTCTAAAGATTTTTTAAAAATATTTTGATTTCTGAGGCATAATATGCCTTTAAAGTTATTAATAGGATATATTAGAAAGATTTAGTTATTTTTAATGATTGGTTTAGGTGAATGTCAAATTAGATAAACCAATGCAATGGTACAATACATTAAAAAA